ACACACACACACACACACACACACACACACACACACACCATCACAGACACTCACACTGACACACACACCAGCAGAACACCTGTCGGGCTGCATGGCTCGCTCCAGGACACCTTCGAGTCATGAGCTCATCGGAAAAGCAATTAAAGGCGGTGTAGGCCCTGCACGCTGGCGTAATGTTTTGTTTTGCTACTTGGCTTCGAAATTAACCAAACCTGTCAGAAGTCATCTGGCTGACGCGGGCTGGGCTATATTTATTTATTTTCTGTTGGAGAAGCTGGACGCAGGGTCCCTGCGCTGCCTCACGTCCAACAATGAAGCGATTCTGAGGGGGCGATTAGCTGGCTGGGACACAAATTCTCCCCCCACCCTGTCTACCTGGGGGGTGGTTGGACAGAACCTCCCAACTCTGTTTGCCTGTCTGTTACTCTGATGTTGGGGTCATAGCCCTGTAGTTGAGAGGTTGTGCCCTCTGTAACCCCAATCAGGGCTTTGGTCTCCACTGTGGGACTTGGTTTTGAACTTGCACTGACCTAGCCGCTCCCCGTTTATTGAATTTCATGGTTGCATTGACTGAACAAAAGCAGATTTTGCATTCAGAAATGTCAATGTATGAACGATGTAACCTGATAAAGAGACAGTATGAAGACAGAAAGATCTGTAGCTGATAGATTACTGTTGACCCAGAAAAGAAGAGACTGACAAGAACATACACAGAACTTAAAGGTTGGAGGCCTTCTCTCAGTCTGGCCTAATGCATTACTGTAGCCTCAGGCTTTGAGCAGCCTGATGTCAGACAGCCGTAAAACAACACCCGCAACCCTGTGCTCTCTTTTAACTCTACTGGTCTTTAGCCACTGAAGAAAAAAAACACCTTTGACATTAATAGGTCCACTGTGGGTGAGTCAAGGTAAGTGTGTCTTCACTGATGCCTGCATGTACATTCTGTGGTTGTATGTATTTTCAGAGCCTAGGCCACTGAGCAGTCTTTTGGTGTTTTCTTGAGGAATCATTTAGGAAGTAAGAAAAACACCTTTGTTATCATTGTCATCACTTTCTGTAATTACCCATATGCCACCCTGTTAGAGTGGAGAAAAACAACAGTTAGCCTGTTGCCGAGGTCGCCCTCCAAGCATGGCAGGCTGTTTCATGGTGCTGCTTGCTTCAAAGGAAGTGTCACTCTTTGGCAGTTATGTCAACACAATGATGAAACAAGAACACAGTGTGGATAGTAAAGCTTTGGTCTTCAAAGCCTCAAAAGCCAGGTCAACACATATTTTATTTCTGTCATTGTCAAACTGACAGAGGGGGGAGAGAGGGGTGAAAAAAGGTTGTTTGCTCTGTTAATCTCAGAAAAAGGGCTTTTTGAGTGGTGTTGTGATGTATCAACTTGGTCACGGCTGTCATTAAGAGACGCCACACAGACGTGACACACAACCACAAAAAGATTGCAACTGCTGACACAACACTGAAAACACTGTAAATACACTGGCAGTTACTTCAGAACTTATTTAAGTAACCAAGATTCTAATACACTTGGCAAGTCAGCTTGATTCATCTGATAATGAGCTAGTTTTCTGTAATGAAAACTTACGTGTGTGAAGGTTTGCTTTTTGCATTTTTACTTTTTGTACTGACGTTGGCACTGCTGAGAACTGAAATAGTGTCCGATTCTGCTTTCTCTGTGTTTTGATTTCATCACCCTATACACAAACATTGTTTATCATGTGATTCCTTTAAAACATTAACTTTTCATAAGATACCCTCAGATGAAATTGTGTGTAATGATTTTAAAAAATGCATCTCTGTAATAATTGTTAAATAAACAATCCATACAACTATTTCAGATGATTTCTTGTGCTATGACTCATTTCTACTGAATGTGCTTAGTCGTGCTCAGTGCATCTTGTAGACCACGATTTAGGGTCAATTTATTAAACACATCTTCACTACTCAGTTCCCAGCCTTGTGGGTCCTATACTGCTCATGCTGCTCTGAGCTATGATGAAACCACTTGAAGTCGGGCCCCAGCACGACAGCCACAGCCAAAGCCTATTAAGCAGCCACACTGCGGTATAGAAGTTCAAGCCACAGGACTGAGGTTATGATTCCTTGTCAGGAGGAGGGGGAGAGAGGTGGATGTAGAATGATGAGGAATGGTGGAAGAGTGGTTTCTGAGGGAAGGGTAAAGGGGGCTGAAAAAGGATCAAGGTAGGGATGCAGAAAGAATGAAAGAAGTGATAGAGGGAAGGAAGCTCGTAATGGAGAGGTAGAAATGAGGGTAGAATTGAAGAAAGTCCGAAAGCCAGCAACAGTTGCTGGTGGAACAGTGATGTTTAATGGGGTAGATGGATTGTGGAATAGTGAAGAGACACAAAGATGGGAGCGATGGAGGATGAAGGGATAGATGAAGCAGCAGGGGAAGAACTATGAGTCAGTTTGACTTGATCCAAGGAGAATGTTTCTCCTTTGCCCAGAGTGAATTCTTTACCAGTGATAAATCATGCTTGAGGATTAAAGTGAACCTGGTGAATAATAATTAGACACATATAAACATTAGCACTGACAAGTGCACACACTAACAATACCATACTGTAGATCTAAACATCAAAGCTTTCACACCTTACATACACACAGAAGTGCATATTTGACAGCACTGACATGCAGACATTTCACATTGCTCATGCTTTCAGCCATTCACATTTACTTTGCACTGCAAACACTCACATACATACACACATATACAAATTCACAGGCCACAAATCACTGAATGTTGTAAAAGTGGAGCAAATTAGAGCACTTTTATTTGCATTGTTCACAGTGAATAATGGAGGAGGGAGTAATTCGTGCCAAGCTGGAGAGCTAGTTTAACAAAAATGTGTACGGGTCTTTGGGAGTGTGTGTGCTAAGGGAGGGTTTGTTTTTGTGTTTTGTCCATGCTTTAGAGACACCAAAATGTTAGGCATAGCAGCAAGCAATCAGGCTTTGTTGGAGGTGAAACCAACACACACATTTACAGGTTCACACTTACGCACGCACACGCACACGCACACGCACACTAACACACACTAATGCACACACTCACACGGCTTTGCCTCAGGGCCTGAAACAGAAGACCGGGGTCTTGTCCAAAGCTCCATTAAACTGCTGAAAGTCCTTCTAGAGCTGAAACATCCTCCTATCGTCATGCTGGGACATTCCACGGCACGCCAGAGACCCTGCGCTAATCCTGCCGGCATGGGAATCATTATTGATAGGATCCTAATGCATTACCTCAGGGCCCGCTTATTGTTGGTAAAGATTATTATTTAAGAGTAAACCAAAACCCAGAGAAAGTCTCCAGTTTCATAGAAATTTATCAAAAGAAAATGTTATTCTTGGCTTAGTGTGATACCACTTTGAACAGTGCAATTGAAACAAACTGTGCTCCTTGCTGCACTCCAACAGGCAGGCTTCATACCCACCAGCAGGTCATTAGGACACAGTGGATACTATGCAACAGTGTAAGAACCTGAAACTTAACCTGAGAAGATTTGCTCTAAGTCACTTTCACTCATTGGTTATTACCTTACATTGATTTCAGTGATCATATCGATGTGCCTCCGACTTTGCAGAAATAATTGCAGCATCAGAACATTTTTGTCTGTATGAGTTCACATAGTCTCCACTTTAGTCAGCCATTCTGTGCATCTCTTTATCTGGATCTTATTGAATTAGTTGTGTTGATTACAGAAGTTTGGCATAGTCAAACCACTGCTTGAGTGCTTTCAAACAACTGTTCTGCAGTAATTTTGATTTTGTAAAACCAAGACAGATGTACAGTACATGCTTTCCTGTTTTTTTAAGCAGCTTATTTATCATGTATTTGATCTTCTTTGTCTTCTGAGTTACATTATTGAAACTCTTATTTGTTTTTCTGTGTGTTTGTTTCTATTTTCCAGGTGCCGTCCTGTTGGTCAGTGTCCAAGGCATAGCTGTCAATGTGGACCCAATCTTTTGCACATGGCTGTTATATCAACCTCACAGAGGGAGCAGCAGACAACAGCAACAGGTACTTGATCCTGTCCCTGTCTGATGTTCTTTGACAAGGCCCATTGTCCATCCATTCATCCATCCATCCATTTTCTGTTGCTTATCTGGAGTCAGATCATGGTCGCAGCAGGCTAAGAATCACATTTCTGACATCCCTCTCTCCAGCAACATTTTCCAGCTCCTGCTGGGGTATTGTGAGGTGTTCCTAGGCTAGATAAGATATGTAATCTGTCCAACATGTCCTGGTTCTACTCTGAGGTTTACAACTATTTGCACATGCCCAAAAAACCTCCAGTGGTAAAAAGTCCAAGAGGCATCATGGTCGGATTGGTCAGACCACCTCAACGGTTTCCTTTTGACGCAAAAAGCAGCACATCTATTCCAAGCTCCCTCTGGATGTCTGAGCTCATTTCCCTATCTCGTAGGATGAACCCAGCCAACCAATTGAGAAAACTCATTTCCTTCTCCTTTTTAGTCATAATGACGATGCTTGCTTAACTGCTGGTACTGCACCAATCCCATTGGCAATTTCAAGCTCCACTTTTCTCTAATTCGTGAACAAGGCCCAAAGATGCCTAAAATTTACCTTTGCGCATGCATTGGAACACGTTTATAATGCAACTTGCATTTATGAAGTTGTTGCAGCATAACGTACTACTGTTGCACTCGGAGTTGCTCCAGGTTAGAGCCTTAAGCGAAAGTACAGTAAATGTCTGTAGTTCTTCCTCCCTCAGTTTTACCTTCTTTTTCTCAGCTACCTCTTTCCATGTGCTCTGCTCCCTGTCTTCCATCCAGTCTCTCTCTATTTATTTGACAGGGGTCATGGTGATGGTTATGGACATTGAATGCTCTGTGCCCACACTTCACACACACGCAGACGTGCTCAGTCTGATTGCCTGGGATATAGCACAGGTTCACCCTGTAAAGTCATATAAATATATATAGTACATGAACGTATCATATTGTAATACTTTTAATGTTTTTTTTTTTAGCAAGTTGTTCTGTTTTATGCCTCTTGCAGTTTGGAACGGTATATACAGTGAATATGTGTATCAGACAAAGAGAGAGAGTTAATTGTACCTACTTTTTACTCTGGAGGTTGTTACTGTACGGGGGTAAACACATGTTATGAGTTGAACGGCTGCCAATGTGAAGGATACAAAACGCTAGCTGCTGTGTTTGTGCGCACACGTGCATGCATGTATGCTGTGTGCGGTGTGTGTGAACATGCTGCAGCAGATGTGTGCATTTCTGTGAGGCTGTCTACCTCAGGTGCCTGTCAGGGCCACTTCTCAAGGCCTGGCTAGTTTAGACCAGGCCTTCAGCTGAAGGCCAGTCAACACCATGTGAAGGACAGTTGAGAGGACACTGACTGGTTTGGGTCAGGATGGCAGGAAATGCTGAAAAATGAGAAAAACAGGACAAGGGAGGGGACATTTTGAGGTACAAGGGGAGAAGGAAGTATGTGTGACATGAGCTTTTGGTAGCACATAGAAAATAGAAGTGAGCAAAAGAAAAGTTCAAAGAGAGGACAACTGAAAGAATCAGAGCGAAATGTGTAACATAAACAATCAAGAAGGCAGGCGCATTGGGTGTCATTGAGAAACGGTAAGGAGATATGGAAGTAGATCATAAGAAATATACAGCAGGATAAATCAGAGGAACAGAGAGGAGACAGCAGAAGAAAATTAAGCACAGGACATCATTGAAAGGTGAAGAGAAAGAATTAAAGTTAAATTAAAAGTATGCTAAAACCAGAGCGAGGAAGAAACTGGAGAAATCAGGCCCCTGTGTGTGGTAGAAGAAGTTAGCTTATATTATGTCATGCTTGAGGAATGAGCAGTGGTCACTGGGTATGGTACCTGCTTTTAACAGAGAGCACTAAAATGTGGTCAAAGACATATTTCCCATGAAATGCACAAACAGAGTTATATAATATTTAGTAACCAGTGTGCGTTTTTGTAAAATAACAGTTAAATGGCTAGTCTATGCAGTAATTTGTGCTGTGCGTTGTTTTTAAGAAAAAAAAAATTCATATATTCAAGTCAAGTGTACAGATTCAAGAGTTTTATTTTCATATGCACAGCAAAACAGGTAGTTATACGACACAATGAAATTCTTATTCTGTTCAATCTCCCGAAAAAAAAGACGACACATGAAAATAAATCAAGCAAGCAAATAAGAACAACAATAAACAACTAAGAGTCACAATAAAGTGTTCAGTGTTATGAATATGTGCGTGTGTTGCGTGCAGTGTGTGTGAGTGATTCATTGAGAAGTCTGAGGGCCTGTGGGTAGAAGCTGTTTGCCAGCCTTGTAGTCCTGGACTTCACACTCCTGTAGTGTCTGCCTGATGGTAGGAGTGTGAAGAGTGAGTGTTGCGGATGTGTGCTGTCTTTGATGAGGTTGTGTGTTCTTCGTAGGACCCTGGTTTTGTAAATGTCTTGCAGTGCTGGGAAGGCTGCCCCAGCAATGTGCTGTGAAGTCTTGATCACCCTCTGGAGTGCCTTCCTGTCTTGTGCTGTACAGTTTCCGTACCAGACCGTGATAGAGGCAGTAAGGACACTCTCGATAGTGAATCTGTAGAAGCAGCTGAGGATTTTAGTTGACATGCCAAATTTTCTCAGTCTTCTCAGGAAGTACAATCTTTGCTGGGACTTCTTGATCATTTGTTCGGTATTGTGAGACCAGGTGAGGTCCTCGCTGATGTAGGTGCCAAGAAACTTGAAGGTTTTCACCCTCTCCACTCTAGTCTCATCGATATACAGGGGTTTATGTGGCTCCTTTTTCCTTGTTCTTGGATCGATGGTCATCTCTTTGGTCTTGTCTGTATTGATATGAAGGTTGTTGTCATGACACCAAGTCACCAGGTTCACCACCTGTCTTCTGTATGATGTTTCAACCCCACCAGTGATCAGGCCAGTGACTGTAGTGTCATCCGCGAATTTAATGATGCTGGTGTTGTTCTGGTGGGCCACACAGTCATAGGTGAAGAGTGTGTAGAGGAGCAAACTCAGCACACACCCCTGTGGGGTCCCAGTGCTTACAGTTCTTGAGCTGGACGTGCGGTTGTGGACTCTGACTGACTGGGGTCTGCCTGTTAGAAAGTTCAGCACCCAGTTACAGAGGGAGGGTGTCAGTCCAAGTGTGAGGAGCTTGTCTGTGAGTTTTTGGGGACTAACGTTGTGAAATGCAGAGCTATAGTCTATAAATAGCATTCTGACATAGGTGTCCTGGCCCTCTAAGTGCGAAAGGGCTGTGTGGATGGCAGCGTTGACTGCGTCATCGGTGGACCGGTTCTGGTGGTATGCAAACTGTAGAGGGTCCACAGTGTCCGGTATGCTCTTTTTGATGTGGGTCATGACTATCCTTTCAAAGCATTTCATTGTGATTGGAGTGAGTGCTATAGGGCGATAGTCATTTAAGCAGGTCACATTGCTTTTCTTGGGTATGGGCACTATGGTGGTGGACTTAAAACAGGTGGGTACAGAGGCTTGTGCAAGGGACAGGTTGAATATGTCAGCAAGCACATCAGCTAGCTCTGATGAGCAAGCCCTGAGAGCACGGCCTGGGATGTTGTCTGGGCCTGCTGCTTTCCGTGGGTTTGTTTTACTCAGAACCTTGCGCACATCTGCTGATGTCACCATGAGAGGTGAGTCCTGTGTGCTTCCTGTGTCGTGTGTCTCTCTGTTGTTGTGGGTTTTTTGGTTTTCAGCGGGCATAGAACTCATTCAGCTCATCTGGCACTTGGTTTGGCTGGATGTGGCTGTGCTGCTCCTCTGCCGATACTCTGTGATGTGCTGAAGCCCCAACCACATGCATCGAGGGTCTGAGGTAGAACAGTAGCCGTCCAGCTTCTGTCTGTACTGTCTTTTGTAAAATCCTCCTACACAATTTTTGTTTGTGTGTGCTGTGGGTATACTCGGAAGTGTTTTGGTTCTTAAAATATATTCTTGACAGGCTGATTTTCAACAGAAAATATGATTTTCAAGTCAGACCCGACTTTGGGCAATGAACGTACTGGCCTACAGTATTTTGTTCACCCTATGTTAAGTTGCAAGAACCTAGGAAGGATTTGGCGACATACTTCAGTCGGTAGCTTCAACTACTAATGTAATTTGGTGGCCCATTTTTAATCTTAACCACAAGCAACATTTGGGTCCCAACCTAGTCACTGAAAAACAACTGCATCAATGTGTGCGTATGTGTGTGTTTACACAGGCTGCAGTACGTGGTTGGCCTGCAGCCTTGTGCAGCTGTATCATAGCCTAGTGGTGCTGCTGGCTGATGCTAATGGGGTTTCCTTATTTCAGACCAACCTTCCACTCTTCTGTCTTTCAGCCATCGTATTGCCAGCCAGGATGTGTGTGCATGTATGTGTGTGTGTGTGAGTGAGTGAGTGAGTGACTGAGTGACTGAGTGAGTGAGTGTGCGTGCGCGCGCGCGTGTGTGTGTGTGTGTGTGTGTGTGTGTGTGTGTTTGGCCTGCATGGGAGACTGCTCAAAAAAAACAAGGAGCTGTCACTGGTCCTTGTTGGTCTTGGAGGCCGGTGTTGTGTTCCACTGCATTTTTCTTTTCTCTTTCTCTCTCTGCCTGTCTTTCTATCTTGCATTGCATTAAGTATTGCGTCTCCTGATAAATCCAGATCTTGAAAGCTTGCTCTGTAATGGCCTGACTAGCACACAGAGCTATGTTTAAATAATTTGCACTTGATACCTGATAACACGCTCTTTTTTAAGGATTAGCGAAAGCATATTTTACATTCAGAATTCCTTTACATGTCCTCATAAATGCTTAGTCATGCTTTGACTTGCATTGCAGAATCCAGGTCCAGTTCCTCAGGCCAAGAGGAGAGAGGACGAAGCGTCGGTAGGAAGCACGCCACTGGCCAAACAGCCCTCCAACCAAGCCTCAGACTATGCCAGCAGCCCAGTGAAAACCAAGACGGTGACAGGTAGGTAGGGATTTACTGATCCCAGTCTGTGTCTTATCTATCACATTGAAGATGTCACTGTGACATTGCACATCATACAGTGACATCATACCAATAAATTAGTACAGCAGAGAGGTTTATGCACATAAAGAGAACAGTATTGGCTCCATGTTTACTGAAAACTCTTCTCTCAGTGTTTGAATTTAGATATCTTTCAATACTGTAATAATAGCACTTAACTGTTGATGCAGTTAACCTTGTTTCTATGGAGTAAATCCATGTTACTATGGTGTTACATAACACGCTACAGTGTGCTGACACCTGAGTGAACCCGTTTCTCAGAGGACGCCGAATATCCAGGCATGTCATCCTCTGTTTTCCTCTTCTGGTAGTATTACTGTGGCTCTGTGGGCTCTGGATGCCCAGAATAGATGAGTGGCTTGGCTGTGTGTAGGCTGCTCTTATGCCAGGTTTCCACTTTCTGGGACCCCCCCGTTCAAAACAAACCGATTCAGTGCATGTGCACACATGCACAAATCTGCAGTATACATGTATTTATTAGCATTCACAAATATATTTGAGTGCATACTGTATATACAGGCGTCCAGCTATATACATTGAAACACTTGGACATATACTTTTGTAGCATTGCTATAGTGCTTCCTTTCAAATAGCTGTTGTCCATAAGTAGGAAACTGTGAATAATTTGGAATCAGATGGGCAGATTGGAGAAACAGAGTAGAAGAGGACAGATGCAGCTCTGGATTTTGTCAAGGATGTGACTACTTGCTTTTGTGTCAGGAACACACTGTGAAGTATATCAACAGTATCTATAAGCTTTTAGGTTATTATTGGGGGTGGCAGGACAGGTCAGGAGGAATTTAGTAACTGACAATTCAGCAAGAGTACAAATGAAGCACAAAATTGGTAATAGCATTGGTGTTTTCATCAGTGTGAGGGATGTTTAGTTGACCTCAGAGACGTATAGTGATCCCAAAGTTAAAAAGAGAAACTACCTGAAACACTACACACATACTGTACGTGTATTTTTAGACCCTTACCTGGGAGGATGGCTGGAGCTGTCAGTGTGTTTAGGAGCTGTCTATGACAGAACACAGAGCCTTACTCTTACAGAAATGGTTTTCATTTTATGCTCATATGGTTATTTATAAACCTAATAGCCCACCTCCTCTCTCACATGTTCCCCTATGGATATTTAATTAATGTGATCCAATGGAACATCTTGGCTGGTTTCATGTAACTGAATTAGTTACAGAATTTTGAAAAAAATGAACAAATAAATATGTTAAAAAGTGTTCCCAGCCTCTACTGTTTGACTCTCATGGTGTTTAGGCTCCAGGTCCTTTAAACATTGTAACGGTTTAAACATTGTCTGCCAAAGCATCACAGTGACGAGTCAGGGGAAATAAGCAAGTGGGTCTTTTTTTTCTCTTTTTTTAAGTCCCTGGGAAATGTGTTCCCAACAGGAGTGATGAATCCCTGTTTTGGGTGAAGTCATCCTGTAGCTGTAAATAACAGTGCATGTGTGTAACATTCTCCCATGTCAAGTGTTTTGATAGGAGAAAAAGCTCCTTTGACATTTCAGAGTCTAAAAAAGACTGTTAGACTTCTTTCCTTGCTTGCTTAAAAAGCTCACAGCTGAAAGGTCATGCTGCCGTTTCCTCCTGGTTTTCCCTCTGTTCCCTGTTTGATCCGATCTGCAGTAATAGCTTTTCCATACTGCAGCATCTTTGCTTACTCACATCTCAACAATATATTTTCTCATTAGGGGTTGTCAGTAAACAATCACCTTGGCTCCAACATTACACGCAAAGCTACATCAGGCTGTAGTTTGTCAGCAACACTCACTGACTAGAGTACACTGGCTGTTAATGTGCTGTCTTTCTCTGTGACTGCTCCTCCGTCTTGCTGTCTAAGTTTTTGTTTTTCTGTCTGAAGTTGTTTTTCTGTCTGGCTAGCTGTCTGTCTTTCTGTAGTCTTTTTTTCTTTCTTAGTCACCAGTTGGCATTTTTGCCAACTGGATGACCAAGAACCAGGTTATATGTAAATAAGTTGAAACAAAGCCTGAAATGCATTTCAGAATTAACTGTACACACATACATACATTAAAACGTAGTGTTTTGGCTGTTGTCAAATGCTAAGTGGACAGCACATCTGGCCCTGAATTATGTCTGTAGGAGTGTTTAGTGTTAGACATATTTGTATATGGCATCTCATTGTTGGGCTGCATTAGTTAGTCAGAAACATATACTGAGTCAGACTCAAGCGCTTTCTTATCCAAATATTTCTCTTGTGAAGTGAAAACAAGACATTGGTAACTAGGTGCTCGTACTGTATTTTGTTAAAATTCAAACTTCAGTGCCCCTGCTTCAATTCTCCATGTTGGACTGGAGCTTGCAAGTAAATGAATAGAACCGTCTCTGGAAATTGCTGTGGTGTTACAGGAGAAGATGTAATGAAAAGTTACAAATTGTTTCCGCAGGCAATCAGAATAAGAAAAGGGCAGAGGCATTTAGACCTTGTGGTTTTAATCATGGTGAAACAATAAGCCTCTCTGCAGTCGGAAGCTCTTGATAGACTAGAGCTCAACTACAGAGGAGATTACAGTGCAGCAGGTACTCAGCCTCCTTTATCGCACAACTCCTGTTTAACCTTGTCTTTGTTACATGATAAAATGTTCTTTCTGCAGTTAACTATTTTGTTTCTTTGTATTCAAAAATAACTAGAACTAGTTAACTATAACTACTTAAAGATGGCAACAGAGTTGTTAGTTTTTCAGATTGTTAATGCATATGTCTGTCCCATTCTCGTGAATTCAAAATATCAGGAACGCCTTTAGGGGATTTCTTTCATATTTGCCATTAAAACATCCACTTGAACTCAAGTAAAAACTGAGGTGATTTTGGTGGTCAGTGGTTCCTGTGACCTCACAAAATGCATTTTGGCCATAACTTAATAATTCATATGCTAATTATGACAAATTATTCAACAACTTTTACATTTTGGCAGTTCCTGAACTGGCAGGTTGAAGATGTATGTGAAACATCCACAGTTTAACATTCGCAGCTTTTTTGCATATTTGAAGCATCGTCTACTGTCATGGCTACAAATCAGAATCACCCTGTTGGCCAAGCATACACATACAAGGAATTTGACTTGTTTTTCGTTCCTGTCAATAAACTTAGCCACTTTTAGTTTTCACTACATATAATATATGAGTCTAGATGGATGCCAACTGCATCTTTACTGGTTGATGGAGGTACACGACTGTGTGGCGGTAATTCTTGGTGTTCCTGTGATTAAGTTTGGGGATGATATTTGGGATGTTAATTTGTAATATCGTTCAAGACTGGCTGATTATGGTGAGATAGATACCTGATACACAGATAGCTTGATTTGTAAACTGATCTGTCCTGATATTGAGTTCTCTGTTGGTTAATAATTGTTTAACACTAAAATTCACGGACAGTGCTGTTTGCTAAAGCAAGGCCAAAAAAAAAAACACTTAAAAATGAAGTTCACATATGTTGACCTCATAGCTATACACAGTTAAGCTAACGTGAGAAACTGTAGGCTCCTAAATGGCTTAAGGTTAAGGTAGATTCTGTAGTTAGCAGGGTTTTTCCCTTGTAAACCCTTCCTCACTGTAACCCCTGAGGAAGAGCTGCTGACATCTAACATGTTATGATTGGAGTTCGCCTTTCTAAAGATGATTTATTAATTGCTTTACCATTCATGCAGTGCAGTGAATAAGGAGCTGGATGTTTATACAAGAGGGAGATGATGGGAACTCACTCTGGTCAATCTGTTATTTTAAAAAAATAAATAAATAAATCAACACTGGCCACGGTCAGTCCTTCAATCCAACTTACTTATTAGTTTATCATGTTTGTGTGTGGTGTTTATACTATGTTGACTGTTAGCTGGACATAAAACTGTCTTCTGCTTTTTTCCTGTCAGCAAGATGCATTTCGTCTCTAAAGCTATTTTGCCACATTGAATCATCTGATGGATTTTTCAGAATCTATTTGTAATTGCTGTGTGTTTACCCCAGGACATCTGATCCAGCTGTTTAGCTAGGATTGAATCAGTAAGCCATAATGATTTACTGAAGGGCAAAGCTGATGTGAACGTAGCGAAGAAATGACCAGTGTCTTGATGGATGTTGATCTCAGCTGTGACGGAGCAAGGTTTTCACAGAGATTTATAATTGCCCTGAGAAACAAATAGTGCTCCTATAAGAAATGAATTGGAATGGTCCAACTCATTTTTCCCTTTTTTGGAGCAGGTACACAGGCAGTCACTCTTTCTTTTCATTCTTTTTGCTAAATTATCATTTGGCATTTTCCTTGATAGCTCTAATGTGCTTGTTTTAACTTGACTCCAAATAAACGTCCGGATATATAACAAGGTTGATTTTAGTTGCGGGTTTATTGCCGGCATATAATATCTCAGGGGACTTTAAGGGGGTTTGTGATCACTGCAGCAGACGTTTTATTTTTCAGCCTTCAGTCATTTGTTTAGGTAAACAGAGGAGAGATGTGCACGTTGTTTGCCAGTTGGAGTCAACACGTGTTCAAACTGCCATTTACAGGCATGTATGGGGAATAAACACAAGACTCGCTCGGGTTCAACAGGGGCAGTTAGCCAACTGGACTGCCACTGGTGCTGCTGCTCAGTCGACTGTCAGGAGAATGACATTCTTACAGGAACCGTAACACTGTTATACTGCTGCCAATTAATTTAACATAAGTGTGCGACTTAAATATGTAGCCTGCTAGCCCCTGAATGTTTTTAACGAATGTGTGCTGCTTCAGTATTGGATACTGACGGTTACCCTTGAGTCACTTTGTGAGAAAAGCTGCTGATGTTTAACATGTTACAAATTAGTCTTTTAAGTTACAGCTTTCCATCCAAATAAAATAGTCGTTCCAGCTGCCTCACTAACTGCTGTTAGTTCCTTATTTAAACACACTGAAAAAAAACAAAAACTGATGATG